CCCCGATTCGACGGACAAGAATGGGAAAACGCCACTGCACGGGTCGGCCAAGAATGGGCACGAGGGTGTAGTGAAGCTACTCCTCAATTGCAAGGAAGTCAACCCCGACCCCTCGGACAAGTCTGGCCAAACTCCACTGTCACTGGCGGCTGCAGGTGGGAACGCGGGTGTTATAAACATGCTTCTCAAACTCAATGATGTCAACCCCGACAAATCGGATAAAAAGGGCCGAACACCACTCGCTTGGGCGGTGGTGAATCAGCACCAGGGTATGGTGAAGCTCCTCCTCCAATCCAAGATAGTCAATCCCAACCCATCAGATGAGTGCGGCCGAACACCACTATTAGTCGCGGCTGGGAAAGGTTTCCATGGTATAGTGGAACTACTGCTCGAACGGAGCGAAGTCAATCCCAACTTGTCAGATACGGACAACCGAACGCCACTCTCTTGGGCCGCCGGCCACCCCCGGGGTCAATGTTTCCTACCATGCAATAAACGTAATACTGATAAACCGAGCACTGCCAAACTGTTCTTCCAACGCAAGGATGTCAAACCTGACTCCCCCGACAACCAAGGCCGGACACCTCTCTCGTGGGCAGCCGAGCTAGGGCGCGTCGGTATGGTTAAGCTCCTCCTTGAGCGAAACCATGTGAACCCCAACGGTCCTGACAACGACGGCCAAACGCCACTCATGTGGGCCACTAGGAACGGACACAAGGGCATAGTGAAAATGATCCACGACCGGTTGAGCGTCGGTCCCCAAATCTCCAAGCTCTTTGATGAGGAAACCCCCTCCCCAGCTACCAGCTTTCCACGCAGTACTCCGACGCGAGGAATCACCCCCAACTCCTCCGGTAGCGACGATCTGAAACCACAATCAATTGTCAACGACGGCTCCCAGAATCCCTTAAACTTAACCCACGGAGATCGCAAAATTACGGTGAATGACGCTAAACGAAATTATTTCTGGCTAGCCCTTCTTTCTCTACTCATTTTTCTTTGTCCTATCCCCCCATTAGTCCTTAAGAGTTGCTTGGTTCTGATGATGGTCATGTTCATGCCTCAATTCCCTTGATTCACATCCCAATTTTTTCTTTACATCTTCTTTTGCCCAGCCGCTACCCGTCTTTCACCCATCGTTTTACCTTTCCCACTTGTTAGTTTTCCTTTCTTCCCCCTCTATCGTGCTGGCTGAGCGGTGGAGTTCATCGTATGATGAGTTAGTATAAAATATGATACGACCCAGCAACAAATAAATAGATATGACACCGGCCCCTCAATATTCATTTTCTACCACCTAGAAACTCATGTGCCAAATCCACCCATCATATAGAACCTCCCTGCCCTATTCCCATCTCGCCGACTCTTTTTTCATCCTCCTTCTCCCCCCAATTCTGTGCATTGAATCTCCCTCCCCCATAGAAAACACGGCAATACCGATGCCGCCGGTATGCTCTGCAAGGGAAGTTCCCCTGAACTGAAAGCATAGGAGAGAAAGCTGGTGCCAATACCCCTTTCTTGTTCAGTTTTTCAACACTCCGGAAGAGGGCTTAAATTTCCCTACAGTGTATCAGAAGGACCACTTCATGGCAGGCACGTTCGGCGGATCATCTGGATGAATGGGAATTCACAAGGCAACACACAGATGCTTCGTCCGGTCATGAGCAGTATTTTCTCAGGCCCATATACGAATGCAATGGAAAGTACCACTCTCTACCGCCTATATATATACCTCCCTGCATCTTCCCAGCTACCCGCCCCCATCTTTGCTTTCATATCTCATCTCCCACCCCTTGGTGCCCTCGATCTCTGACAACCTGGGGCACTTTTTGGTAGTGTTATCATAGAATTTAATCCCTAGTTTGACTGATCATATATACAGTGTTGTAAACTGGTACCGTACCGTAAACCGCAGCTCCAGGGTACGATGCCGGTATACAGTACCCACCATTATCAAACCTGACCCTCTGATGACCTCTTCTGCCATAGCGGTTAATGTAGTGAAACAATGCCGGTAAACGAATTTCAGATTTCCACACCGTAGGGATTAGCTGCTTTTCAGGAAAAAGATTTCACATTGTGTCTTTGGTAGTGTGCTATACGAGGAGGGCCTGTTCGCAAAAGGATGTCGCGGCTGGGGGGGAGGGGCGTATGATACAGCTGTGGGGTAACTAACAAATTAGTGCAGAGGTATACTGGACAGAATAGTTCCGGACTGTGGCAGGCATGTGTGAAAAAGTATCATCGGAGCTTAATTGTGTTGTTCGCCTCCGCTAATTTAGTTAGCTAACTCTAGCGGTGTGAGACAGAATGTATATGTAAAACGGATAAGAAACCTTCCTACCTTTCCTCATGTCTCCACACTAATCTTTTCTCCCCCTCCTCCTCCTCCATGCAATTCGCCTTTTCTTCGTACACACCCGTGATATCAACGGAAGGACTCGCCTGGAGAAAACACTCAACGGGAATTTTTTTTTATTAAACCTCGAGAACGACTCACGTCACTCCTAAACAACGTGCTCGTGTGTCTGTCGCCCCGAGGATCACCCACAACACCCCACCGTTTTTCCACAACCGCTAACAAAGGATCCTGCAGGGCCAGATCCAAGTTGGATTCACGATATTTTCTAACCCGCAGTGGAGGGGTTTAATATGGTATTTGATGGGAAAGGTGGGCTTCCCTTTCTGGCCATCCCCCAGGCTGTACCCCCCGGTTGAGATCTATAGTGTGTTTTTATACTGACCCCACCAGCGGCGCTGGCAATTTTAGGGTACGCTACGGTACGGGATGGTAATGTAACCTATCGCACGCTTCGTATACTTCATTTAAAGTGTTGAAAATAGGTGCAACAATCAAGGCATATACCGAAGGCAGATGAGAGCGAGAAGTTCAGATTGTTATTGCAAAAGAGAATTCTACACCAGGTCCGGGAGAGGATCCACTATTTATGCTGTAAAGCAGCAACATATATCAGCAGCGGAGAAGAAGAAAAGAAAACAACATATTGTCAAATGCATTTTGGTTGTCAGTAGCAGCGGGTCGGGAGATAACACAGTTTTATTTTTCCCCGCAAAGTTTTTTCACTAGTCGAATTTTTTGAGCATTGTTGGGGGTCAAACCGCATGCCCAACCATACAGCAGTTCTACTACTCAAGCAGCTACAAACCATCTTTCATTTAGGCAACAAACCTTCCCACCATGCACCACCACACCGAGTGAACAAGTCAGAATTCCAATTCCTGATTTTGCTAGTACCCTGTACCTGCAGTCTGAGTTGCCGCTGCAACCTTGTTTTCAAGCATATTTATCAGCTTCTCAGTTGTGCAAATGGATCCATTTTTTGGCTTTGAGTCAGAACATCAATGGGAACAGAATGATGCTGAAGCATTTTCGGATTTTCAACTGCACCAATCACCGAATATCACCTATTCCGCAGATAGCTTCCTTCAACTACAGAGTGTGCAACCGGGATCTCTAGCTACAGCTCAGGAAAGTGAGGAGTTATCTATCACCAAGGTAGGTCAGTGGAGTAGCAGTAATCAAGAAATTTTATACTAATCATGTATAGGTGAAGCGCGTCAACCGAACAAATTCAGGTTTCCTGAAACCAGTAGCTGAAAAGGTTCAGCAGGCTTCAGATCCCCCACAATGGCGTTATGACTTTACCATCTACGTTAACAAGCAACGAGAGTCTTCTGACTTTGGCTCTATCGACAAAGCATCCAGTTTTCCTATGTTTCAGAAGCTTCAAGATACACTTTTAGATAATACAATTCGTATTTGTCCTGGGGTTCTTAGTACCAAAACACATCTGTATCTAGGACTAGTGGCTTCGATTATAGCCTCAGCTCCACATGAACATATAGGTCCAACAGATCTTGACGAGACAGCTTGGGCCAAGGTTGAGCATGAAATCAATAGGTCGATTGAAGAGAAGCCAAAGCGAACCTTAACTATTGGGTTAAGAGTGGATTATGCAACGATTGCAACGGGAGGCAGTGAGGAACAAGGCAGTTCATGGCAGGTATTTAGTAGCATTGCTAAAGGCAATAAGAAGCTGGCAATTCAAAATCCTATACAATATTGATAGTTGATATGAAGCTTGTTTATTTGATTGCTAATATAAAGTTATAGACTGCAATACAAGAGCAACTAAACCGGGCTTATCGTTCACCTATTACTCCCAAGGTACAAATTATGAGCAAAATTTAATCCTCGAATAGGTGTACAGGCTCCTGTCCTATAGGCTGAGAGGGTGAGATTTACTTTATAACAATCAACTCGCATCAACATATTCACCTACCCTATTCGTCAATTAGGCTTTAGGCCGAGGAGGTTGAGCAAGGTAGATGCACAATAGAGACTCCACCATACCACCATGAACGCTTCAAGAGTCCCCAGAGATCATGTCCAAAGACTAAAAGACTGAGTGGAAAGAACTCTAGTCAAGTTAAGGACAAGATCAGACGGAGCCGGCCCACCTCCCTCTCAGTACCAGGTCTTCCATCTGATATCCGCTCTCAATTTCGTGATCCGAGTCCTCTTACCCACTCTACTACCAGTATTCATCATTCGAATAAGTCTGATTCACTGGTGTCTGCTGCCTTTACACCTGGATCAGATTGTGCCAGTAGAACTCAGTTTTATGACACATCCTCACCACCAACCTGTAATGGTAAGTCGATTCATAATCTTTCCGACTACATTTGTTGGCTTCAAGCCCGTTTTCCTACTTACTGGACTCTGCTTGATGAGGCTGAAGAGAAGCTGCGTATGGCTGGGTTTGTATTTAAATCTATTACACAAAAGGAAAATATGATGGTAGTGGTTGGATGTGGAGTAGCTGTTGGAATTGCAGCAATGTTTGTAGATGAGGCCCGGGGTTATAAAAGGTTTCGTGTTTCACATTTGAGTAACACAGATGAGACTGAAGCTACCATTGATACTGATGATGATAGTAACGTGCTTTGATTTGTATTTTATTTTGAGTTTATTATACATAGCCACAATGCTTAAAACAACTCTCTGCCTGCCTTGAACTAATAGTTGACATCGCATATACTAAAAATAAATCCATTTCCCCCATAACAATTGCTTCAACAAACTCAATGTGATGTCTAATTATCCACTTTTTCATAATACTAAATGCTATCTCAATAGGATTGTAGTCTGGTGAGTATGGTGGAAGCATTATGAGCTTATATCCAGCTTCCTCAATCATCTCTCTAATTATTGAGTGACGATGGACTTGAGCATTGTCCATGATTATAACACTTTTTGAAGCAGGAAAGGGATTACCTTGTGGCAGTAGTATATCCCGAACAAAATAAAAAAAAAGACCTGTGGTAAAACTACCTTGAATAATATCCTGACAGAGAAACCCATCTACCGTGAAGGCAGGTAAAATAGAATATTTTTCTCCTTCAGAAAAAGGAAGCGGATTTACTCTCTTTTGACCTTTTGGAACCCAAACTCTCTTCCTGTCTCCAACTCGCTCATTTGCAGCTGTTTTATCACAAAACACAAGTTGAGTAGCACTGTATTCTGATATTTCACGGACAAAGAAGTTGCGTAAAAATTCATTTCGCTTGAGGGCTGCCTTGATTGCCTATTGACTACTGTTAATATACTATTCCTTTTTCTCTTAATTTATATTATAACCTCCTGTAAGGACTATAAGCAAACTGGTTTCTTCACCTACAATTTTCTTATTCTACTTGACTCGTTTCAATGCTCATGATATAGTTGTAGTACCAAAGGTAATTCCAAATATATCACGTAGATGTTCTTGTACTTCATCAAGATAGGATACTGGTCTCGCATTAAGAAACTCTATTATCACCTATATCAAAGTATTGTGATTAGCCTGAGTATTTCCTATGAGCAACGAGTAGGAGGAACCTACAGCTACAATATTATCGTCAACCTCTCTCTTTCTTCCACAAATATTTCCCTGAGGAAATACAGATCCATGAAGCCTGACTGATCGCTTTGCTTGATAGATTGTTCGGATACTAATTTCCGCATCTCTTGCAATTTGCTCAATTGGCTCTCCTTGCTCACAGCGCCGAAGGCATAATTTCAAAATTTCAGTATTTGTTTTGGCTGGCATCGTCTTAGGAAATAAATTGTTTTGGAGAGAATGCGGGCAGACCTCTCTACAACCAGCAGTGGGACACTGCTTGACCCTGTTGACAGCTGGCAAAATTACGCTATGATGTGCAACTGATAAATAAAAAATAAATCTATGATTCCTCTCAACCCGCTTCTACTGACAACCAAAATGCATCCGACAATAGAAGGCAAGAGAAGTAGATGAGAACACCATTTCATATCTGTAGGACAGATTGAGTAATGATGATATAAGGAAAAACCCAAGTGGGACAAGTTAAACTCAGGAACTACTGGCAAGCTGACACTAAGGGAGAATGACCAGCAATGTCATCCTCTAAGACATAGCAAGGGCATATCTGCAAGCCCAATTTCAACACTCCCCCTCTTTCAATATGTCAAAATCAACTAAGTTAAACAAAAATAAAAAAAAGGAAAAGAACAAAAAATGGCACCCTCATTAAAAACCCATAAAAACCTCTGTGAGGAAAAACTTGGGGAAAAGAGTGCTCCATATACATGACCAATAAGTTAAGCTACAGGATTATGATAAATGAAAAGATACCTAGAGCTTTCTTAATCCCATACCCACTATATGTTTGTGATGCAGTTCCTGGGGAAGAGCCTTTGTAAAGATGTCGGCGGTCATGAGTGCTGTCGGTATATAATGTAGACAAATAAGTTTTTCCTGATAGGCTTGTCAGATAAAGTAATATCTTATATCAATATGCTTTGTGCATTGATGAAAGCGTAGGTTTTCAATCAAGGCAATCGCTCCTTGGTTGTCCCCATATATTAGGCAAGGATGAGGTAAGGACTGGGGTTGTTTTCAATTTGGTGTAATTTCACTGAAAAGTCTTGTAATCCAGATTCCTTTTTTTAGAAGCTTTACAGGAACCTATGTATTCCGCTTCTGTGGTTAATAGAGCCACTGTTGAGGATTTTTGTGACTTCCAAGATACTGCTGTAGAGAAAAGTGTGAAGACATAACCATATGTTGACTTGCGGTCAACCTTATCTCTGGCCCAGTCAGAATCAGTATACCCAATTGGCCATTGAATGAGAGGTTCATCCGATGGCCTAGTAAGATCCTGTTCAGAAGGTCAGTGCTGTTGGTAGGATTGTTGAGTTGGAAAATGAAGTGCATAGATGCTTGTTGACTGTAAATATCTTAAAACCCGCTTTACTGCTTGAACAGACTCCATGGTATGCTGTGAATTGAATTGTCCTAACGTTGAAGCAATGTAGGCGAGATCTGGTCGAGTGGCCATCATTAACCACTGCAGCAATCCTACAAGAGACTGGTATTCAGCTGTAGATAAGGATAGCTTTCCCATAGTATCACCTCCAGAGCTGGCTCCAAAGGTACTATCTGAATATTGGGATCGAAGTAGGTAAGTGTTCTTATCCAAAGGAGTAGAAACTCCCTTACAGTGCTCCATTCCATTTTTCTTAAGCAAGTCTTGAATAAAAGATTGTTGGTGAATAACAATTCAGTCCTCTCGGCATTCAATTTCAATTCCAATGTATTGCTTTACCGGTTCAAGGTCTGATATTTGGTAGTGGCTTTTTAACTTATTCTTCATTTGATCAATGGTCTCTTGACTTGGAGCCATAAGAAGTAAGTCATCAACATAAAGAAGAATGAGGAGCTTCGAAGTTGTACAGTAGTATAGATTCGTATCAGAAGTAGAGTAAATCATAGACTGCGAGTGAAGAAACAGATCAATGTCTTGATACTAGTACTATAGCTGCGGTGCTTGTTTCAAACTATATAAGGCTTTTTGCAACTTGCATACTTAATTCTGTAAGGCAGATACTTCAGAACAAGCAGGATTTAGCCATTCAACTCGTTCTGGAAATTCCATATATAGTTCTTCAGTGACAGGAGGATTAAGGAATGCTGTTACAACATCCATTTGCTCAATTGGCCAATTATAGTAGGCAGCAATTGCAATCATTAGGCGGAAGCTAACCAACTTGGCTACTGGAGCAATGGTATACTCAAAATCAACTCCTTCTACCTGTTGGTAGCCTTTAATCACAAGGCGTGCCTTGTATCTCATAGTGCGATCGGGGTTTACTTTCAATTTGTAAACCCACCAGCAGCCCAAAATAGACTTATTTATTGGAACAATAGATTGATCAATGCATTTCCAGGTTCCATTTTCTACTAGGAAAGAAAACTCAGCTATCATAGCGGATCTCCAATGCTTACTGTGAGGATGTTCCAGAGCCTCTCGGTAGTTAAGCGGTTCACGAACAACTTCAACATACTCTGCAGTGGTAATATGTACCGTAGGATGAACAATGCGGTTGCGAAGTGATTGGCATAAGTTTTGTCGCTTTGCCGCAGCAGGTGAGGGAGACCTGGCTTGAATAACATTCCCATATACCTCAGACTCAAGATTATCTTTCAGAGTACTTAGACTTGTAGATGAAGTGCTTTCGGAGTGTTCCTTGACTGGAACTGGTACTAGCTCATAGGAAACATCTCCCTCAATGTCACTATTGGAAGCATCAGATATCGCAACATCTGGGAAGCATGAAGAAAATAGCTGAGACCGCATATCAGTTTCAGCATCATTGGTAACCTGTGTACCTAGAACTGTCGACTCATGAAAGACAACATCAGAGGAGTGAACTGGAGATCTACGGCTTCTGTCCCATAGTTGCCAAATTGTAGTTGAGCTGTGGACATAGCCAATTATAATACATTCACGAGACTTGGAGCCAAATTTTCCTACTCTCTGATCTTTCGGAATGAGGCAGTAGGCTGTACACCCAAAGCGGCAGAGGTGGACAAGAACTAGCTTTCTCTTCTATAATGTCTTAAAAGGAGTCATGCCATTTAGGGCTTGTGAAGGTGATCGTGCATGGAGGTAAGCAGCAGTACTAATAGCCTCTGCCCAAAACTCCATTTCAAGTCCTGAGTCAAGAAGCATTGATCATGCCTTGGTAGCCAATGTTCGTATTATACGTTCGCTGACTCCATTCTTGTGCTGACTATATGGAGGTGAGGGCTCGAAGCTGATTCCGGACACTCTCAAGATTCCTCTCATTAAGCTGTTATCGTATTCTCCTCTAGCATTATCGCAACGAAAGCGAGAAAACTTAACAGTAGGAAGCATGGCTTCAACTCGAGACAGAAACTCTTGAAGGACAGAGACGATCTCTGTTACAGTCTTAGTTTGCAGAAAGTATGTAAAAGTGGTACACAAGTAGTCATCAATATAGACTATGAAGTAGCGCTTCCCAGAATGTGATAGTGGATTGATTGGACTGCAAAGGTCCGAGTGGATTAGCTCAAAGGGCTGTTTTGTACAGGCCACTGGCTTTCGAATAAACTTTTATTCCTGTTTTGATTCGATACAGACTTTACAAAATCCCAGTTCTGGATTGTTTTGCAGAACAGAGAATGGAAGCTCTAATATCTTGAGAATGTCAACCTTGTTCAGGTGTCCTAAGTGGAGATGCCACAATTGAAGTAGTGCTTCTGTCTTTTGCATAGCACTTTCAGTAGCAGCTGCTTTGGTTGCTGTAATGGCATGATGCGTTCCTCCTGGTTTTCCGATTGCACATTTCGAGGTTGACTTGGATAGATGAAAAGAACAGAGTCCGTTTCTCTCCTCTAGGTACATCAAGAGTCGGTGGTCACTATGCCTAGAAATGACACATCCACGATTGTCAAAGGAAATGTGACAGTACTGGGTCAGCTTATTTATAGAGAGAAGAGAGAAGCGGAGTTGAGGAGCATATAGAGCTTCTATTTCCAGATACAAACCATGAACCAAGAGGGCTATTCTTCCTTTTAGATTGGTAGGAACTGTGGCTGAATTCCCAAGTTGAATTACAGTTGGTATGGCGAGTCGTTTCAAGCTACCAGGTATGAAGGCAGATCTCTGATTTGCAGAATGATCAGAGGCACCAGAGTCAAGTACCCAGGGTGAGCGGTTGAGATGGGACTGGGTATATGAGATAAGAGCTTGGGCCATGGTGGCTACTGAAGCATCATAGCCTTCATTGCCAGATTCCCGGTTGGAATTGGAGTGGTTTCTCTGAAGACTCCTTCTAATCTTTTCTGCATTCTGCTTCAGGTTACAGGTATTGATCCAGTGACCTTTTTTGGTACAGTAGAAGCTGGTAATATTTTGACTATTCTGCCCACTTCGAGGATGAAATTGGCGCTGACTTTGTCTTAGGAACTTTGGATTGTGGCAAGTACGGCTCTGTGAGTGATGATTTGACCCTGATACTGAATTGGAGGTAGTAGTAATAAGAGCATTACTTGAGGTCAGTCTAGCACCAGCATTCATACTCGCATCAATCTCTTCTTTGCGTGACTCCATTGCTCAGGCTCTATCTGCTTCCAAAACAGTTGAGATAACATAGTCAACGGATTTTGCTTCCACTGATTTGTCATGAGTAATAATACTAACTAAACTGTCAAATGATGAGGGAAGTGTAGTAAGGATGTGGGTAATGAACTCCTCATCGGAGATTTCTTGTTCAGAGTTTTGAAGTTCAGTACAGCATTCAAGAAGCTTGTGCACATATTTGGTAATGCTATGCTTTGGGCGAAGAGTATTGAATTCACGCTTGATCATCAGTCTTCCCGACCAAGTATTGACTCAATCAAGCTTTTCTGTAAGTGCTGCCCACATAGCGGTTGGATGACGCATTTCTTTAATGAATCCTTTTACTGATAAATGACAGGTAGCATTGATCATTGCTGCTGCCTTTTCTAGACGCTTGCGGTAGAGATCTTTCTTCTTCTCACAATCTCCTTCTGGTTCGGCTTCCTGTCCTAGAATAATTTCTAGAGCATCCTTAGCTTGGAGGAAAAATTCCATATCGCAACTCCACTGATGCCAGTTCTTGGCAGTGAGCTTTCGAGTTTCTCCATATTTACACTTGTAAATATCACCTTCGGCCACTGGTGTTGCTGTACTGTCGTACATAGGATTTCTTGAGAGGAAAGAGAAAGAGTAAGGTAAAGAGAATGTGATAGATGAAAGAAGAGGAGATATATTGAGTTAGATGGCTAACCTGGGCTCATAACCTGTTGAAAATAGGTGCAACAATCAAGGCATATGCCGAAGGCTGATGAGAGCGAGAAGTTCAGATTGTTATTGCAAAAGAGAATTCTACACCAGGTCTGGGAGAGGACCCACTATTTATGCTGTAAAGCAGCAACATATATCAGTAGTGGAGAAGAAGAAAAGAAAACAACATAGAAGGCAAGAGAAGTAGATGAGAACACCATTTCATATCTGTAGGACAGATTGAGTAATGATGATATAAGGAAAAACCCAAGCAGGACAAGTTAAACTCAGGAACTACTGGCAAGCCGACACTAAGGGAGAATGACCAGCAATGTCATACTCTAAGACGTAGCAAGGGCATATCTCAAAGCCCAATTTCAACATAAAGCATTAATTAAATACCGAGTGACACACTGTGACCGCCAAAAAAACTTGAACACTTTCGTCGTGTCCTGCGAGCTAAATTTAAACATCACATGGAACTCAAAAATCTCTCTCAGTCGTTATCTATCCTCTCTGTATCCTCCCTCAAAGGAAGGAGTATCATGTTTCAGATCCCCTACAATGATCCTCCCCCTATCCAACCTCCAAGAAACCCACCTGGGCGTAGCAGAGTGGTAGCAGGGAGTAACGATATACTAAGCAAGGGGTTCTTCCCGGGGGGTGGAAGAAGAAAATTGGCCCTATAGGCTCTTCGGCCGGATCAGTGTGGTGAGTTGAGCGGTCTTACCGGGGGGAGCAATTTACCGGAGCGGTGATGATCGGACACCTAAACCTCAGGTCCTCACCGCTTGCTGCCAGAACCCAAAAAGTCGAGTGGGTGCCGCGTTGGGGTAGCAGACCCTAGTATGATAATTCCTCATGAAGGGTTTATCTGTTCTCATCGAGTGATATCTCACGCACCACTCGGCCATTCATCACTGGGGCAACGTTTTATTCCTTCAGCCGAAAGCAGAATAGGTTAGACCCGGCGCTCAAAGACGCTGCAGTTGCAACATCAACCAAAAGAAATATCAAAGTTAATACGGACGGGAATTAACCCGGATACACGGTATAAAACTTGTATGATAGCTGCCCACCGGCTATTAGGGGTGGGGTTAGGAGATATGCGGGTATAGAGCTTGCCGCTTTGAGCTGTGCGGTAGTTATACTCATGGTAGAGATTTTTGGTCTCACATCCTATGTTGATAGGCAGGGGGTAATGGTTCTTTAGTTTTGTAGATAGCTGTTGACATTGTGCATTCAGTTTTGTCTCATGCTTGGCTCACTCGTCATTGCAGTGGGTATTGGGCATCGGGCAGCGGTCTTTTATAGTTTGGATTGCTCTGGATAGCTTCGGATCATGGGGGATTATGACGTTTGCTGCAGGGGAAGCTGTTTTACGGTTTGATGGGTTTCATTGGGTTTCTAGGGTTGTTTGCTATAGGGAATCATATAACTCCTAGCCTCCCATAGGCCAGTACCCCTATCGGCCGTCCAGTCCACCAGTCTTCCAGATCCAGCAACGTGCAGATCCCACTGCGATTGCACTTTGACTACTCTATCCTTTAGCGCTTTCCTTAGGTTCCATCAATCTGCATCGGCGGGTATCCTAGGGGCTCCCCCGAGATGCCGACTCGATTTCTTCAGGAACATGCTCTGGGCCACTTATGACTTGCTTGAGTATGGCACCTAACATGGAGGTGGTGGACTCCCCCTTATGGGCGTGGAAGTCGCAGTACAGGCATGCAACAGTCACTTGTTGTCCGTCACTTTGACGCCGTAAGGATTCGATAACTAACGAACTGCACAAAAGCACTACTACTTAGCCCCGCCCTCTTTCCCCGAGAGAGTGTTATCCCATACCTGAGGTGTGTTTTCCCAACCCCGGGATCCCCGAAGCAAAACATAACAGGGTTAACTACCCCATCCTCGCCAGTATTCCAATTTACAAACTCATCCGTTTGTAAAAACCAATCTCCTACCCCCTCCACCTGAGATCTCCTAACATCCCGATGCCTCTTGTGAGGAGCCAACGGAGATAACCATTCCAGAATCTGGCGTCTATCGTCCGTTACCGATATTTCGCAGTTGTTCCAGGTGTTGTTATAGCTGCCGCTCACGTTGCCGCAATTGGTGTTTTGTGAAGGGTTTGGTTGTCGAGGTTTGAGGATGTTCATGTTCCTCGCTATGTTGATAAGAGAAGGGAGAGGTGGGTAGCAATGGGGGTACCGATGAAAGTTATTTTGGTTGGGGGGGGGGATGCGGGGGTCTTATGCGATAATGAATTTGCAATACAGTAGCATACTACTGGCCAACATGCAATTATTTTAGCTCGAAAGAAATCCCGAAACGGGCGCGCAAGCAGCGGAATAATCACCATAGGATACACACAATGTAGGTAGACTGAGGGTTACTCATAATGCTCGCTACTGCACTGGTAGCTATCCTCCGAACAGGGTTTCTTCCGCAAGCCACCTGAGGAGCGCTTAAGTATGATACCGTACAGTATGCAGGAGATATCTGCAGGGAGAAAAACCCAGCAGCTCACAGCCCTTTTCGCGCCCAGGCAAGCAGTTTCGCTGCCTAAGACATGAGTGGGAAATGGGTGATATTCGGTGTGAATTGGACTTGTAGATAGTTTCTCATGTCTTTCCCCTTAGAAGAATCATTTTATTTGTATGTGGATTGCCTGGGCACTACATAGTACTGTACTGTGCCGGGCACATCGATCTGAGGCGTTGTGCCCTGGCACAACTTTCTGTGACAGTGCCAACAACGCTAGCGACAGGGCAAACACAAAGAGGCCCTTGGCGTTCCCATCTTTTCTGTCAACTCCAATCCACCTCTTCTAAACTCAACTCCCCTTCTCAACTCAACCTCCTCCTCAACTCAACGTCACGTCTTAGCTAGTGATAACCATCAAAATACCCAATGGCTTTTCCTCGTTCTGCCCTACGCAATACTTATTTTTACGATGCCACCGATCCCGAGGTGGTTTTGGGAGGTTTTCGTCAAAACGGTTCTGTAACAGAAGCAAACTTTCTTTCTTTCCTCGACATCCTGCTTGTAACTCAGGGGGGTACTGTGCGTGTTCAAGCGAGGATTTCAGGCCACATTGTCACTAGAACCAACGTTCCCCTTGCAACTGGAGCGTACGATATATATTGTGATGGTATGTACAGTGCGGAGGGGCCGGAAGAAGTCTGGCGAAGTCTCCGCTGCTAATCCCATACAAATTCTGCAAGCAACACTTACCCCTACACCTGGAGTACCATACTCTTGTTTGGCCGAATGTTCAATCACTAATTTTGTCAGGTCGTATTGAAATTAGCAATGAGCCTTCGGTGCACCGACTTTTTTCTCGCAGCGTCTCCGGCAAGGAGACTAGATTCCGCGATGAAATCCGCGCTCGTGACCGGAAATGCGTTATATCTGGCATGATAAATGATGACATTAGTATCCAAGCTCACGACTGGATTTCTTTCGAGGCTGCCCATCTCTTCCCTCTCCTTGGTGAAAGTATTTGGATTGAGTTGGATTACGGACGATGGATCACAGATATGGACGATTCGCTACAATCCTCAAAGATCGATTCGGCCCAAAACGGGTTTCTCCTCCGGTCGCATGTCCACCAAAAGTTTGATCAGTACCTAATATCAGTTAACCCTGATGACGGCTACAAAGTAGTTGTGTTTAACTGCGATGTTGATGGGCTTGATGGTAGAATACTTGATCCCGTGTGCAGAGACCCGGCCAATCCCCACTGTGTCTCCGACCAACTTCTAAGGTGGCACTTCCGCCAATCAGTCCTCGCCAATATGAGAGGACCAGGGGAACCAATCTTCGAGCACGATTTCCCACCCGGAACAGATATCGTGGGTGAGATCCTTGCAGGTCCATATGGGCAAGAGAGATTTGAGTTGGAGATGGCTGCTCGATTGAGGGGCGTTTGCTAAGGGTAATTGCTTCGATTCCAACGTGATGGCGTAGTTGTGGAGATTGCACCACTAACGGAGTTATTACTACTAGTATGTGGAGGCCGAAGACGACTCTATACGGGGGTACAGCTCCTAAGTTATGTTCCACAGGGGGTAAGGGCAGCAAACCTCGCTGTGGAACATACAAAACTCAGGCGCTGTACCTCCGTATGTTTGGGCAGGAAAAAATTGTAGGGGGGATTAGTTAGAGGGGGCGCAATAAAAAAATGATTGAGTTAGTTCCTTCTTCTCTTCTTTGCCCAAGCCAAGCGGTGGGCTGACCTTGGCGGTAAATTTCTAAACCCACCCCAAACCCGGCCGAAGGGATATCAAGTCTACCCAACCCTACCCAGAGTTCTATCGGTGCTGTCCAACAGGTCATCAATATTGCAAAGGCAAACCCAACTCTCCCGGTGATCCTGCAGCGGACTGGAGGAAGAGGTGGAAGCCATTGCTCCTTTGAAGATTCCCATCAATCAATCCTTCAGATATACGCACGCATCCGGAGATGCAGCATAAATGCTCTCAATTCTGGCTCTAGCTTTGGTGGGGCAGAGGATATATGTCTTTATTTGACAGGAGCTTAGTCTGAGAAGTTTAAGCCCCTCCGATGCCTTTCGACGGTGTTTTGTTCGGTAGCGGAATGATAGCTGCAAAGGAGGCACATACTAACTTGAGTGTAAGCTTACCTTGGTGAGTTATACAATCAGGCCGACTCTAATTTACGTTGTCTTCTTGACCGAGAAAGCGATCTGTGAAGCAGAGGGGTTGGATGATCAGAACTAGGGGAAGACCTATAAGAGTCTTGCCGGTGGTGTTCTAACTGTCCTATCGCAGATGGGCGAGCCTATTGACAAGCTCGCTACCTGTGGTGTCAGGCTCTGGTCAGTATCAATCGGGATTCGACGCTTGAAAATTTTCTGCAATATAGGGCTGCTCTAGATCGCACAATTTTCTCACTCCACAAGGCCACATATCTCGTGGAGCTTAAACAGCAGCGTGACTATATTATCGAGCTCCTGAATGCTGATTTCCAAAGAGCTGGTTTTGTCGAAATTCTAACGGGGACGCCATGGATCGCGAAAGCATGACCTATTCCGAGGTCGTCCGTCGCATAGCTGGACTCATGTACGTTAGGCATGAGTTCCGTTGGGTTGGTCCGTCTTTAAAACGGCTTACTGGGGATTTCGTTGGAAGTATTGAGGAACCCTTCACTCCCGTTGAGGGCTAGGCGTCCCTGCTTCAAAACTACGCCGATTTGTGTAACCATTTCACTACTACCGAAAAGATTCTAGCCTATTACCGGGAGGTCCACTCAACTCACCAATGCACAGGATATACAGCATTTCCTTCTCCTATGTTAGCGGCACGTTCAGAAGCCTGTCCCATTTTCATTCCTCCACTTGACGAGAGCTTTAAATTCCCGTTCAAGAAGGATTCCCTTTGGCAATCCAAAGATCTCCAGGCGGTTGTTGGCTAGGATGTTGGAAGAACTTACATTCATCCGAGGCCTATGGCTGTCAAAGAATTCACTGTAGTCAGTGAGCCTATCAAGCATATCTTCGACAGAACCCACAATGGGCACATCGCTGCATTAACAACGGATGTCTATGCGGTGACGAGAGAGCATGCCCTGTGGTTGAGTATTTTGGTGGCAAACCAATCACTTCTCCAGACGACATCGAGAAGGTCGACGGGTTGGTCGTTTCTGAGGAAGGTGGAAAGACCACATTTAGACTCTCGGTTTCCTCCTCTCAGGGTGTCCTTTTCGCTGCTGACCTGTGGCTGAGGCTGCTTGCCGGTGAGACCTACTCGTGGAGACATGCTCTATTTACCGACGATGTTCTCGTTCCATGGAACGAATTCCGGGACAATCCGATGAGACGTATCTTCTTTCCTTCCCACGGCATTGTAGTCGAAATCACCAATGCAGGAGATCCCGCTAAGACCCTCATTGCTGTCATGGAGAAAAACCACACCTATGGTGGCTATGTCGAGACTAGCGAAATTAGAATGTCTGGAAAGAAGGAGATTCTCATTGACCTCATTGAGGAGCGTATCATATTATACTAGGGAAGCCCGCACCCTTGGCACTCAGGTACGCTATCACCCCGAGACTAGCTCTGTCGTTATAAGAGGCCGATCGATGAAAGGCAGGCGGATCGGAGAAATAAGGAAATTGAAGTCAAGGAGGAACGACTGCATATTTTTCGGATTCGGATTTTGCTTGTTCATCCTTCTATCCATGGCAGTACAGAGGGTTTGTATAAGAAATACAAAGAGCTTCCCCCAAGGTGCTCACTCCGGAAATCCTTCCGGAGATGCACATGCAACCTAGAGTTTCGGTGCCCATCACATCCATCCTTCAGATGCATCCTCCGCTTTGCCCTCCGATAGTTACCGGCCATGTATGCGAATACTGAAATATAGTATACAAACCAAGTATACCCCATCCTCCTCTTTGATCGATAATGAGCGACAAAGGAAACCACTAACTAAGGAGCGGCAGGAAAGGTACAAAGGAAAGATTCAAGTTGGTCTGTGTAGAGTCATCACCGGTGATTTTCAACAGCTCTACATCTATCGCGAGGTGATGGAGAGAAGGAGCGATAGAATCAAAGAATGTTACTACTGGCTCTGATTTTGTCGGTGAGAATTTTCTCCTCAACGAGGCCATAACCGATGTGTTGGACAGCGGAAGCGCACAGGTTACTGGACAGGCGATTGCCGATTTCGTTTACGAAGTTGGAGATAATTGCGAGGCTTTCGTTGAGAGACCTGTGACTGTCTACGCGCTCATGGATTCTGCTATTGTCGTTAGGCGGAACGCTATCATCAAAGCAACCTTCCCAAAGTCGATGGACTAGGATCTTCTCAAGCTGGCTCACCTCTTGAATAGCTTCCGTATGGTTCCTGGCGTGGAGCCTTCAAAGAAGCATGATGTAGTTGAAACCAAAGTCCAAATTATCGCTTTTCCCAAACAGACCTCCGGGAAGATGGAGGTCTGCGGAGCTATCCTGAGGGATGGGCGGCCAACTACTGAGGCTATTCCACAATCCCAATATAGGGGCACCTACACCGACCATGGAAACATCCTAACGAAAGATCGAGAGGCCAATCCGAGTGCATATGGCTTCGAGCAGAGATGTTTCTCTCTTTCGCTCAAAGGAGTGGTTCCACCTCCATGATCCTGATACCGAACTTTTAGAGAAAACACTCACGTTTCGCTTGTTAAACTTCATCCGATTCGGGGACGATAAAATCTTCGGCTACGTCGAAACTCTCGGACAAGTGTTGGTTGAGTTACCCACAAACGTGGTTACACAGGTTGCATCTGTCCAGTACTGTACATTCCAAGTCAGAGTCACGGAAATCCGCTATCATAATTGACTATCTCCAACTCCAAGGCACCAGTATCCGGTAGCCTTCAACTTCGACAATGCTTTTTCTCTCAACGCGAAAACTGAAGTTCTCATCAAAGCCCCGGCAAGCAACAGAAGATATGCCCGTGTACCAGCCGACTACAATCCAATTCACGTTTCGCGGACCTTGTCTAGCTACACTAACCTTGCCGAAATTATCACTCATAGAATGTTCTCATCAGCGGCAGTGAGATCTCTTTTTGAAACTTGTACTGCGGAGAACCTTGCCCGGGTTAGGTCTTTTTTGTGTAACTTTGTCCGTTTGGTACTAACTTACTAAATGACGATATTGAGACTAAGCTGCATCATGCCGGTATGGTCAGCGCTAGAAAAATTATCGAATTTTTGGCCGCTAACAAGGAAACCCAAGTGAAGGTATTTGTGGGAGAGGCAGAGGTCGAGCAACTGGTATCTGCCCTTATATTTACCAGCCAAGGAAGTCGGGGGCAAGGTATGGGGATGGGTCCGTACGACTACTCGCCTGTCGGGAGGGAGGTTTGGGGAAGGGCTGATCGAAATTTTATGGACAATTATGGTAAGTCATTCCCTTGTTATTCTCCTTCATCATACTTACTGTAATACAGGTTTCGCAATTACGAACGTTGTGAAAAATAACCCCAAAGAATTGGCTTCATTTTGGCGGACCGCATGGAAAGGCTATTAGGCAGAACTATATGCCGGTAACCTATGGGAGCATCGGCTCCGGCGGGTCGGCGAAGTCGGGGAAGATCATCAAAGATGTTACAGAGGTAACTACCTCATACACCTACTACCCCCCAACGGGTCTTTTGTCTGGGCCAAGTTCACAAAGCCGGCGCTCACTCTTATGGAGAAGGCTTCCGGTCGAGGTCATAAGATCTCGTGGCTTAATCCAGGGCGATTCCGTTTTCGCTGGACATCCTCTAGGCGAAAACTCTGCACTTTCTGGTTTGGCTGAGGCCATGCCAATTGAGTTTTTGGTCTCCGTCGTCTTCTACCGTGGTTTGACTATGCAAGCTACCGCCGAGCGCGATACCGAGGGAAGAATAAATCATCCTATGATCGCTGTCACTCCTAGTCGTATTCCTAAGACCATCAATGAGCAAGCTCTTCAGTAGGTTGTTCACAACATCGCGGAAGAAACCAAATGGTTTCTGGAAGTTTTCGATTATAACGTTATTAACCAGATATATGTCTGTGCCGGTGATGTGAGTTTGTTATCGTTCATTTGCTCTCATATCTATTGACATGCCGTCAGTTACGCGCTCTCGGCTGCCTCACCATTGTGCTCAACTTCCCCAAAGTGCAGAAAATTGACATTCAGGTCCTCGCCGATCACCCCCAGTAACGCGGTAGATTCTGCAACCTGACACACCGGCGGTCCCGGCCCATCCGTCTCGGGCACCCTCTCAGATACTGCCGTCCCGTCCGGACCCGAAGACGGATGGACTGGATGCTTGGCCTCACTATCCGCAGCTTCAATTTCTCCTTCCGCAGTTTCAATTTTTCCTTCATCAATTGTTCCTTCGCGAACTCCCTCCCCCCAAAATCATTATTCTGAGGTCTTAGCGCAAAAACGGGTTTCATCAGAAAATGCGGTATGTAAATTAGAGTACGAGATCTACTGATAAACTAACCCAAGCCAAGTGCTAAGGGAATAGCAGCAGAGATTATGTGAATTCAATGTCAAGTGAGTCGTTAGCAGAAATTTCCTTCCGAAAACAAAATTGTAGCCTTAGAAGCGGTAGAAGTCCAGGTTCAGCTTAACATATTACTCCGTAAGTAACCTGTACGATGTTGCTCTTGTTCCCAAGATTTTGTACGGGCCGATAAGAGTAATGCGTTGCCCTCTAGTTATAGGAACGGGGAGCGGCCAAGCTTGGGAACTATCGGATGAACGATTAGTCTCGCCTGAGAACCAAAGCGCCTACCGTGTCACCACACCTAGCAGCTCGGCATGGTTGAGGCCTTTAAGTGGGGCTTCACTGTCGGAGATCTGTTGAGATGTAAGGGCACCAATCATATATTTATGGTTTCGCGATGTAGTTGGTTCTACACCACAGAACCGCCTAAAGGTTGGTCAATTTCCCCCCCTAAACCCAACTTAGCCACTAAGTTATACGTGGGGGCCGAGCAGCACACCTCACCTCCCTGGACTGCTGCTCTACGAGGACTTTTGCTCCCCCCCCCGGAAACCCGGTACGTTCTCCCAGAGCCGAAAGGCAATCCCATGAGTTTAATCCCAATAGAAAGAATAGACAAGATCCGAACCTTGGTATTCGAGGCCCTATAGCGTGTTGACAAAAATTACGGTGGACCACCCCTACTGCCTAGAATAACATTGGAGGCCGGGGAAAGCGTTCGGAAGCTAACGGATAGTCCTCCACTCATCGCGAAGATACTGTACCGACTCCGGCCGGGTGGACGACAGCGGGCTCGTGTCAGCCGAACACAGGAGTATATGGAAAACCCGTCATGTTTAATAATATTATAGAATACTCCAGAGGAGAGAACCCAACGACAACATTCCAACCCGAGCTGATGATTGCCAACTATACCATCTCCAGATGGCCCCACCGTCGACAACACATGCCCGCGCACTCCTCCGGAGCACCAACGCGCCGTTATATGCCCCCCCGTTCTCACAACTGCTGGGCGGGTGATGGAAGAGGTTAGTGGATTCGTGTGTGGTGGGGTTGCTGGCACCTTTTCACCAATAATCAGTGATACCACCAATAGCTGCTGCGGTTAACACCTTTTGGAGCTAGGTAAATAATATACAAAAATTGAGAAGCCCCATATATACACCCCACCCACTGGCGGCCTACGCTCCAGACATGAAAATATGGTTAGATTGCGCGCCCAAACCCGCGATTGCACCGCCCCCCTTTCGTCGCCTCCTACCCCTTGCACCCATAACTGCATCACTCCCCTCCTATCTCTACGCATCCTAATCGTTTCTTCGAGCATCTTCCTGGTCCCCTTCCCCGCCATTGCTTCCTCCTGCAGCTCTCTTTCCTTCTTCTCCTTGTGCGCCCTAACCATTTCGAGATGACTCTCCCTAGCATCCCGCCTCCTCTGAAGCCCTGCGGCCTTCTTTGCCTCCTTCGCCGGCTGCTTCTTCACCTTCAGGAAGGTGGTCGTCTTATCCTTGGCGATTGCCCTCACCCCATCACCGTGGGGGTCCTTGACTGTGACAGACCTTGACGTTGTCTTCCTGCTGCCGCTGACAATCTTTATGTTTCAGCTTGTGCGAGCATTCGGTCCAAGCGCCCAGAGATCACCCCACCCGCTCTTCCTCGGTCTCTGTACTCCAATTTTCCGAGGCTCTGGAGAACAACCCAGCGTTCGATGGACCCCGTCGCAGTGCGTAAGTCGAGTATAATATGCGAGTCGCGTTTGATAGGTTGGAGTATGACGCATGGAAGGGTCTAACTGTAACTGCAGAGTTGTTGCATTGTGTACGGGCTCTGAATTGGCGTATTGGGTTCGCTATCAAAGGGGGTCATGCCAAAGCCGTCTATCGTTGGATTAATCTGGGTTCTTGTATCAGCGCGGCTGTCGATACCACGACGGAAAATGCGACATATTAGTACTCAAGATCTTCACGGTCTTTTTTTTTGGATAGTAGTCTTTGCGGTTGGTGCCGTCTGAAGGGCCAGAGGGAACAAGGGCATTGTTCTTGGTTCGTGCACAGGGCGATTGTAGTGCCAGGCTTCTTTTCGAAGTGGGGTTGGCGAAGCCACCGGCATTCTCGGTCGGGGGGGATTGGAAAGCTTTGCCAACGTCCTGGATGCAGTCTTCTAGGGTGGCGGAGCGGGCGTAGGGGGCAGCCTCGAAGCCCATTGGCATGCCTATTTCGATGATCGAAAAGATGCGGCCGTTCGGATTTAGGTGCGACTAGAGTTGTTCAATAGTTTGGCGGCGGAAAAACAACTTTCCCATCAGGAGGATTCTGCTTGTAGCAATGATCAGATCGTAGAGTTTTCTCCGCTGAGCCTTGTCCTCCTCCATCAGGGCGCCGGGCGTGTAGGGTAGGTTATCGAAATAGATATCCGGCACTCGAGGAATAAACAGAGTATCGTCTAAGAGCCTCGGCGGCCGCTGCCCGCAATCCACTCCTCTCCCTCGCAGCAGTCAGTTCCTTCCCACCCGGGCCAGGTGGCGGCTTCCCTGTTCTCTCCGAAAGCTCATCCTTTCTTTTCTCATCTTCCGCTTAGACAATACTCTGCTAAGCAAGTACCCGAGCGCTCCTACCCCCCACACCAAGCACATTCTTAGCACCCTCCTTCCCACCACCACGACAGAGCACCCAATCGCCGCATAACCGTTTCCGCAGCCCGGCCAACAAACTCAAGGATTGCGCGTACAGCCTCAGCATTACCGCAGTGAAAAACACGTCGGTATCGATACCCGACATTGGAATGTTAGTCGGGTTCGAGGGGATAGTTAGCTTGTGCTTACTCTACTTCTTCGAGTAGATGGATGAGAATTGTAGGTGTGGACTGCGGAGAGTCCTATGCGTCGAGTTCACTATATGCGAGGTGGCGGCCTCCGCCATCAGTTAATCTGTCCGGCCCCTTACCGATGGCGGAAGTCGGACGCGAGAAGTCGCGAACCGACCGACTTCAGTGAGCGGGTTGATAAAAATATTCGACAGTTCCACCAGGTGAAATGAGCGAGTGATCGGTTATGAGGGCACGAAAACGAAAATACCGATCGAGCGATGATGAATCAAGCACGAAAACCCCCGCAAGACAGGGGCGGGGAAGGTAACTCTCTCTCTCTCTCTCTCATTCAACGCACAATTCTCAACCTTCGCGCACACTAACTAACTAGCGGAAAATACAGGAGTATATATCAACCACGACAAACTTATCCTCCAAGCCTTCCATCCTTCTACCGCACAGCACAGATCTCTGCTCTCGTCCGCGAAAGTTCCCATACCCCATGCCCACTCGCACGCTAACGAAAGAAAGACAAACTCCACAAAGACACCCACTGCTCCGCAGCCTCCAGCTATCCATATCTCCTGCGAACGAGCGAACTGTGAACGAGGGATCAAACGGATAGGCGGTGAACGATGGAAACAAAGCGCGAACGCACGGACGATGCAAGGCGAATGGTGGATATGAACCGCGAACGAACGAACGGATGGAGGGACGGACGAGCGATAGCCATGAGCATCCCGAGCAGCACCACGGTTTCCAATATGAGCGTGTCCGAAAGAGACAAGGAGAACCACCAGTACAGAGGTCCTCATCTCTTCCTTCTTCTTTCACTCCTACCCCTTCGGGATTCGCAATCCGCCGGGCAACCCGTGCATATAAAGCCTCCTCCGCAGGCGTCTTGGGGGGTAAAAAATAGAGCTCCTTCTCGACCTCTCACTGCGGAATCTCTCGGGAGAGCTCCTCAAGTGTCTCGCCCGGCCGCGAAAATCGGGTCATGCGGCCACAACAGCCCTCGTAGATCTCCAGCCATTGTACCAACTGCTCTGTTTTATCTTTTATTCAAGCTGAATAGATACTCTGATGTCTTGCCATCATCGTGGGCTCATTCGTTGTTCACTTCTGTTCTGTAGAATCCTTTATCCTTCGTATGTTTATATGATATAGATTGACAATTTTTTCACCGTACACACTAGAAAATTCAAGTTTAAATTTATCCTTTACCTTCCTTTTTTTCATTTTTATTTTTTCAAGGGGTCTCAAATATGTTTCCTAGAATACAATGGTGCAATTGGCCAGAGTCAATATGTACACTACTGCAAACTAATGCATGTCTCAGTATTTATCATTTTTGCTATCGTTTACTTTAACTTTGAAAGCCCCTATTGGTTGTCTGACCTAATCAGCAGTGTTATGTACCTACGAGTACAGTACAGTACAGTACTAGCAGTCCCCTCCTCGATACTCGAGGCCTCTTGCAGGCTAGGTAGAGTTCTATTAAGATACAAATATCAATAAGAGGGAAAGAACTTTTACAGTAAAGAATAATCAAGGACTTAATATTATTTTAATGGTTCTACTATTATCTGATATTGTTAGTAGAAGAATAAAATATAAGTATTACAGAATTTCAAACTATTCATCAGAAATTTGAAATACTTTATCAACTCAAATACAAATTAGTATGTAAAGCAAAACAGAAGTAAGAAGTAAGAAGTAAGAATATTCAGTAATAAATCATAAAGGATAAAGGAACTAAACCTGCTAACAGATCTCATATACAAAGTATTTAACTTTTCAAATGAAGACTTAGTTATAAATAAGATGAATGTAAAGTTAGAAAACAAAAACAAAAGAGAGTAATAAAATATAAAATAAAAATTTAACCAGAATTGTA